ACTGAATTGTACACTAATTATTAACAACAAACATAGAAGAATATCTCAGAAAATTTTTTTATATATTTATCACGATCTGTAAGATAGTGAGTTAGTAATTTCTTCTGTATAATTATTGATAATTTGTATTTGAAGAAAACTCTAAAATCATGTTTCGACTTGATATTTCATACAATGACAGTATCTTTAAAATTCTAACCTTTTGACAAGGACAAATGTCCAACTGTCGGAGGTCACTCGAGCGCATATTATGAGTGCGAGTAGGTCTCGGTGAAATTAAGGAAAACTTAAAAGGATTTGAACTCATAGCTAAATGATGAAGAGTTATGGTGGTTTTAATGAAATTTTTACTGAAAGCAAGATATTTCTGAAAAACTTAAAATAAACAGTTTCGAACTGAAATTTTGTTTATAGACAGATTTAATAGTCATTAGATAGTCATGAAAGTTTTAACAATAGCGAACATGTCTTTCTCAAGATATTTAATTTTCAAGTAGACTTGATCACTGTGTCTTCGTATGGTAAACTGTTGATTTTTTTGGAAATTGAATATCTCGAGAAAGACATGTTCGTTTTTGTTGAAACTTTCACAACTGTCCAATAACTATTAAATCTGTTTATAGACATAGTTTTAGCTTGAAACTATTTATTTTGAGTTTTTTGAAAATGTCTTGTTAGTCAGAAAAGATTTTATTAAAACGATAATAACCCTTCATTAGTAAGCTACGAACTCAAATCTTTTTAAATTTTTTCTTAGTCTTATCGAGACCTACACCTAACTATAATATGAAGCCGAACGACGTCTGACAATCGGGATATATTCTCTCGTCAACTATAATATCAAATAAGAAAATGACTTGAGTATTTAAAGTATTAAGATAACTTTCTAATTATCAAAAGTGATTTATAAATTTACCAATTCATCATAATGTTCATTGACTAATGCTTTTGTACCAGCAACAACATCTGGTTCCGTTGAAAACAGTTTTAAATGATGATAAAATGCTACCTAGAACATATGAATTCAATAAAAAAAAAAAAAAAATTTTAACAACAAACTCATACAGGTTTTTCATTGGGA